GCCCAGGTGGTGTCCCTGGCCCAGCGGCTGGGCCCACCCTCTGTCTCCCTTGCTCGCTGTGGCCAGCAGCGCCTTGCTGAGGGCAGGGCTGGCAAAACGCAGCCCCTGGATCTGCTCACTGGAGCGGCGTCAAAGGTTGGGAGGCCCGTGTAGCAGGGGATGTTAACAGCCATTGCAAACCTGTCGCTTGCCCCCGGGGGTCGGGTCAGGGAGCCCTCCTGCCCCTTTGAAACAGACTGGCTTCACTTGTTTGTGCAGACTGGAGTGGCAAAGGGATGTGTTTCACATCCATGTTGTGCTAGAACATCCCTGAAGTTAATTTTCAGGAAAGCTGGTTTAAAAGCGTGACATCTTGTGTAGTGCGTGATAGTGGCAGTATCCTGGCAGCTGAAAATTTACAATCAAGATGATGAATGCTTCTCTGCTGTGGAAACTGGCATGATTTTTTAGGTCCTACAGCTATGACAGCGTAATCTTTTCTTTTACTGGCTCTTTCTCCGCTTCTCTGAAACCACTGTTTGCCACCTTTCCCGGGATTTGCGGTGGACTTGCTATGGCAGATACCACTGAAGTTTGAGAACCGTTTCTTTCCTGAGAGGAGGACAATCTCAACTTTGTAGCACGTTGTGATACTCACCTGTCTGGTGAGTAGCAATAAATGTGGACATGTTCTTTTTTTTTTAAAAGATGATAATTCAAGTCTGATATCTCTAACTGAGCATCTTTAAGACTGTCATCTCCCTTTGTCTTTTACGTTGGTTTTAATAACCTGTCTGGGAATGGTTGAATGCTGCATTTAATATACAAGCACACTTAACCGCCTTTTCATACCCTTCAAGCCATTGTTCTGACAGAGCACAACAATACCGATTATTCATTTGGTCAAGCTAAATAGCAGCGAGGCGGACGATTGCATGGCGATTGCTCTGACTGTGTCAGAGTCCAATGCTCTCTGACCAGCTCCTTTTAGATATTCCATGTGTGGAGGGTGTAATGTTTAATATAAAATCTACTTATTTGAAGATAATTGATGCTAGATACTTCTTCTGACTTAGCAGAGCAATACAAAATATACTGAAATCACAATACAAATGTAAGTTACGCTCAGCAAAATACAACAATTGCAATATACAGTTCTATCACAATATCGACGTGATCTCCATTACTGGTCTCTACAACACACCCACCATCAGGATGCTGGGCGTCCCCAGTCACTGGGGGAAAGGAATATGTGGGTTGAAGCCAGCTGAAGCCCATTGCTGTCTTTGAAAACCTTTTGTTAGTTGTTTAGTTTTTATAATCTCTGTTGTGCTGAGCCACGTGTACGCTCCTCCCCGTGCTGGTCTGGCTAAACCAGGGAGACAGTCACGCTCTTTTATTTAGCTCGGGGATAAACAGTTACGCTACCAGCTGATGCAGTCAACTGACAGAGCTGTTTATCTAAAATAAAGGCCACCCTCCAGCCCTCCTTGTGTTGAGATAACGTCAGCATTCTTTGCAACACCTGCCTAGGACAGTTGCAGCCTGCATTATTCCCTGAGCGTCCGGGGCAAGTCACTCTTGCCTGCCTCCTCTGAGCCTTCTTCCTTCGGCGGGGTTTGTTGGTCAGTCACGTGCTGGTAGGTCTTGTGTAGGCATTGCCACTGCAGCAGTGCATTGGGAGAACGCTGCCGCTGCAGCACGGTATCGATTGTGCATTCGATTGACAGAGCTGTGCTAGGACCACGTAGGGACATATAAGAGCAGGCCTTAGGTTTGCGGCGTAAAAGCTTGCAAACAAAAGGGTCTCATTTCAGTGTCTAGAACCCACATCCTCCAGGTCTTCACAACCACATTTCCAATGATACCGGGGGATCAAATGCATTAAAACACGGGATTTCAAAACAAAGCCAAACCCCTCCAATGTCTCGTCTGCCCAACGCTTCAACTCCCCTAAAACTCCCCTGAAAATCAGAGCCAATTTGTTAGGCACCTGACGTTTTTACCATACCAAAAGTGATGCTGTGTTTGAAACTGCACACTAAATACTTTCTACTTGGGGTAAGAATTCATCAGTCTTTCTGAATACTTCAGAAAGACTGATGAATCGTCAGTGCTGGATGACCACCTTTTCTCCTGCCCTCATGCATTTCCTCAGCATGAGGAGCTGTCACGTGAGGACTCCTGGTCCCCTTGCCAGTGGGTCGGCCGTCCGTTGCATCGGGCTATCGAGGATGGGTCCTTCCTCTCCTCGGCTGACAGCCGTGTATTTCAGTGGAAAACGCAGGTCATTGGAAACTGAACGGTACGCAGTGACATGCCATCACATCAATGGAACCCCACCGGGAATGGTGATGTAAAAATTAATCTCAGGCACATTTGGTTGCTCTCGGTATTGAGGAATGGGGGGGGTCTGCGCTCACTGAATCGGTAATCACAAGGTGCAGTCATCTCACTGGTTCCTTGCTGTTAGCGAGTAGGCAAGGTCATTCGCAGCAATTTACTATTTCATTGTTGTAGTGGAAAAAGAGACCTTTGATAAGGTCTGTGATATGAAAATGAACAGGTGGGCAAATGGGACCTGCTTCTGTGTTTCGTCCTTGGCGACAAATTCTGGGAAAGGGAAGGATGCATGTGACATATTCAATGGCGTGGCTGGTTTCAGGAGAAACGCGCTAGAGGCACTTCGGGTACAAAGTACACTGAGGCTTCTTTTCTCTCGGAGTGGATGTGCCATTTTGTGGACTGCTGTTTTTTCTCACAGGTATTCATCAAATGTCAGGGATTTTCTGGTCTTCGTATTCTCTCAGTGTTGTTTTATCGGTGGCATGACTCGAGCTTGTTCATGGAGCATTATTGCTGAGACTTTGATCTTCTAAATCAGCTCCAAGTGAAGACCTGAAATTATGTCATGAGCAAAAGTCAGAAGGTTTTTTTGAAGGAGGAAATTGTAGGAAAAGCCAGAAGGGACTTGGGCAACAGCTCTGGCTTTCTAATTCAGTTTTATGTGAGGCAGCTAAAACTCATCTGCAGTATCACTTTACGCCTGATTTTGGGTTGCCTTCCTTGACTCAGATGAATCGTTGGTCATTTAAAGTGAGACGAAACCTTATGCAGAGTCTCTGCTGGAGAGGAAAACACTTGCAGCTCTGCTCGCTTTCAGTCAGGTAGAGCAACAGCTGCTCTGCACGACCGTGTGAAGAAAGCCCAACAGTTCCTAGCAGGGACTGGGCAATGATGCTAGAAAAACTCCAGGCATGAAAAGGGGTCAGTTCCTAGTTACCGGTGTGATTCACCTGGTGAAGACCCACGACGTGTTGTGTAATACATCTGTTACTGACCGAGAGTGGCTGATCAGCTACCTTGGTTTGGGCTCGGGCTAATCCTGAGAGCTAGATGCCTCTGCATGCTGGCAAACACATTCATTCTCCTAGAGCTGTTAGATTTCCAGCTGTCTTTTAATCACCTCCCTTTCCTTTTACCTTCCAGAGGCCCCTTTGTGGGTCTATGTGTTATGGTTTGGAATACTTTTGATAAAGTATCTTTGTTTCCGTGATTGGAAAGTGTACAATTCTGAATTGAGGTGCGCTGCTCACAGACCGCTTGGCTTATGATAATGTATAATCATTGCGAAAAGGTATTTTATCTTCAGTTGTTGGGCAATCCAGGAAAAAACAAAACAGAAGAACGGTATCGAGCTAGCTAGCCAAATAATAACCGATAGCATTGATCTGTGTGAATTTTGACAGCTGCAGTAGGAACTTTGTCATCTTGCAGGAGTATAAATTGCCAGCGGAGAGACCACAGCCTTGCACTGAAGGCATCATGCAAGTCCTCCTCCTGCTCGCAGCAGTAGGGTTTTGCTGGGCGCAGTACAACCCTAACACTCTCTCTGGGAGGACGTCTATTGTGCATCTCTTTGAATGGCACTGGGCCGATATTGCTCTTGAGTGTGAACGCTATTTAGCTCCTAATGGATTTGGAGGAGTTCAGGTATGTCTGTTCTTATCAGTAGGCAGTAAAATTGCTACATAGATGATAATTTGTTTTTCAGAGAAAATGTTTAATTCACCAAAGGACAGGTACTGAGAAAGAAAAATAGAAATTGGTAATGGAAGTAGTAAATGCTGACAAATACATTCTTCAGCCGTCATCATGTAAGCATGAATTTATTTCATCGCTCCAAAGTGCCTGTTTTGCGCGCTGTGCTATTACATTTAGATGAATTAGAATTGCATATCACTGGCTAAATCTTTTTTTTTACTGCTGTGAAGAGTAACCGACATTCATCTGCTTGATATTATTTAAATCAAGGGAAGCTCTTAAGGGCTAGATAAACGTAAAATGAAACTATGACTGAAAAAAGGGGCTCCCAAAGAGAATAGCCAAGTACTGAAGGTTTTAAACAAAGAAATATAAAAGGCTGCTAATTGTGTTCACCCAAATGGGCAAGTTTCTCTCCGTCAAGCCTAGTGTCAGAGTAAGCCGTTAAGAGACCCGTCTTTGCAGGAACCTGGGGTGAGCAGGCAGAAGTGATCCGAACACAGGTTCTGGTGGAGGTGTGTCGATGCGAATCTGTTCGTCTGAACAACAGACACGTGTTCCTGTGGAACCAGTAGTGTCAGACGGCTGGGGTGGTACGGCTGGAGGGCAGTCACCTATTAAACTGTTTCAGTTTGTTTGTCGGATTGCTCAGGAAAAAATGGTGAGAGAAGGCTGCCTGTCTCTTGTAGCCCAGGAGTTTGCAAGTTGGCCTGAGTGAGAACTTTCCCATAATTTTCAAATAATACATCTTTTCTTTGCAACCTTCTTTCCAGGCACACAGGCCTGATTGATTTTAAGCTGATTTCTCAGACTACGGTATACACTTGGATATCTTTTTAATCCATGCTCTGACAGGGTCTCAGAAAGCAAGCTTTTTTTAGGTGCAGGCTTGCTGAGCTGGTCGCAAAGGTGTGGCAGCTAAGTAGGCTGCAGCCCAGGGATCTTTGTGGGAAAGGGTGGGATCAGGTGGTTGTGCCCAGAGACTTGGAGGTAGCAGGAAAAGCTAGTTGCCTGAAAAGTATCCTGGGAAGAGTCTATAAAAGGAAGAGGTATAGCTTATCTGGAAGCTGTGACAAGTCTCACGTCAAGAACGCTTTTATCCAAAACATTACAAAAAAGGGAAGTCGGGTCAATTTTAAGGGCAGGATGTTACGCCAGTTGTTCTGCAGCCAGATCCTTCCTGATTCTGGGCTATCTCTACTGACCTAGTCCTTCTGATTTCAGGCCCTTCTTTTGATCTTTGAGGCCTGCGTTCATGAAGCTAATTAGGACACTATGTCCATGGACATCATTTTTATAGTATGTTTCTACCTGCTGAAGGTTCAGGCCTAAGTCTTTTATTTCCAGCCCACTACAGTGTAAGCAGAGGATACTGAGGATCTACGTGGGTTAGGTATTGTGAGCGTGAAAGGGACCCGATTTTCTATTATTATGTTCTTTCTCTAACGATGCTGGGCAAACAAGTAAACCATTATCAGTATCTTGTTGCCAAAAGACACCATCTTGTTCACAGATTTCACCTCCAAATGAAAATGTTATCATTACTGACCCCTGGCAACCATGGTGGGAAAGATACCAGCCCGTCAGCTACAAGCTGTGCACACGATCTGGGAATGAAACTGAATTTAGAGACATGGTGACCAGGTGCAACAATGTTGGAGTAAGTGCTTTGAAAACCTTCTGGTGTTAACAATGCAAGGATATAGACACCTGGTAATTTAGAAGGGAAGACGTGGTAGCACTGGAGAGAAGATGGGGGGGGGGGGTCTGCCTGTTGAGATGCATGTTGTATCACCATTGCTATATGTTAATAAAAGAGAAATATTTCAAATGATTGCAAGCAAGCAGAAATAGGGGGATAGGGCAGGAGGTAAGAAAGAGAGAACGTTAATTAGTGGTGCCGTGGGAAGTAGCTTTCTCAAATTGAAATGTGAATACTATCCTCTAGGTACGTATTTATGTGGACGCAGTAATCAACCATATGTGCGGAGCTAATGCTGGTGCTGGCAACCATGCTACTTGTGGAAGCTATTTCAATGCAAAGACTGAAGATTTTCCCGCTGTGCCATATTCTGGCTGGGACTTTAATGATGGTAAATGTAAATCTAGAAGTGGAGACATTGAGAATTATCATGATATATCTCAGGTAAACCTAGAAATATAAATATATTTTTCATGAACATTTGTTCCTGGCCTGGGGTTTCTTTGCTCCCCTTTACTGTCAGACATTTTTTTAAAAACAAAACAAAAACCCTCATGGGAAACCATCCAAATTGATAATAGAGGTCAGAGTTGCTATCAGGAACACCACTTCTTAAAAGGATAGCTCTGCTTGAGCCAACGGCTTAAATTGAGATTTAGACAAATGTGCTTAGGTACTTTATAAAGACAGTTTTAAAGCTCATAAAATCTATTTAGGGATTATCTTGTGTGGGTTTTTTATGTTTAAAAAAAAAGGAGTTATTTTTTGCCTTTTATTGTGATTTGGAAGTTTTCTTTGGTCTCAGTGTCAGGAGAGAGAGATTAGGATTTCATAAAGAAAAATAGTAATGCTAAAATCTTGAGACTCAACCTTCTGTTTAGAGATTTCTCTTCCTAAGAGTGAGTCTGTTCCTCTATATCAGATTACGAGGTCAGGACTTTAAAACTACCACAGAATGAAAAATTATTTTATAAATACCTGTCTGTCTTGAGTAATGTCTTATGCCTTTCAAAAGCATTTGATCTTTCCTGAATGTAAGTTGAGGGGAGAGGGGTTTTGGAGAAAGGGCAGAAGAAGGGGAGACTCTAAATGTCCCTGAATTCTTGAGCAGTTCTAAAGGAGCATCTTTATAGCCAATTCTTTAGTACAGTTTGCAACACAGGCTGATGTACCTTGCTCTCTCCAGGCAGATGTGCATAGCCATGGAAACCCATCGAAAGAGTTATTAAAAAAAGCATTTCAGTATATTCAGTGTATGTTTAAAGTATTCTTTTGATGAAAATCCATGCCCATCATTTTGTATTTACAGGAAACAAAGGCAAAAAGGGGACAGAAAACAAAAGTTTAATGTTTCGTAAGGCTACAATAACTCAAGATTTTTAAAAGATTTAGAAATACAATTTCTAGAAAACTTTCCTACATCAGAGAAGAAATGAGTGCATTTGAAATAGTAATGAATCTGTTCCTTAATACAATGGAGTAAAAATGATTTCTCATGTTTTTGCCCTATACTTGCATTAAAAAGCTGGTTATAGATTTAATGGTTTGACTTTCTGTTATAATCCTTCAGCACCTACAGCTGTGTAAGCTGGGTGAATGCGGACTTCTTAATGCTCCTTTTGTGTAGATGACTGCCCAAGATAACTGTCCAAGGCAAAGACATGCATGGAGAACAATGGCTAGTGAAGGTTTTATTCTGGCATTGTGATGTAGATAATAGAATTCAAAGTGTATGTAGAACACTACATTTAGCTTATTAGGTGAAAAATGTTTCATTTCAGAATTTTTATATAGGTCCGAGACTGCCGCTTGGTTAGCCTTCTTGATCTGGCCCTGGAGAAGGACTACGTACGCTCAAAAGTTGCCGAGTACATGAACTACCTCATTGATATTGGCGTAGCAGGCTTCCGGATTGATGCTGCCAAGCATATGTGGCCTGGGGATCTGAAGGCGATTTTAGACAAGCTGAAAGATCTAAATACTAGATGGTTTTCTGCAGGAACAAAACCTTTCATTTACCAGGAGGTAATCTTTATTTTTTTTAATTGTACTTTACAAACATATTTCTTGCAGGCATAGTTATAGACTCAGTCCCACGCTGGAAGCGATGCTTTGCTTGAGCTGGGCCCAAGCGGCTTTCAGACTCCAGATCTATAGAAAATTGTCATCGAGATTTAATAACCATAATTTACAAATATCTAATCTGCCCACATTGACATGGTCATTGACATGCAAAATGCCCCAGTTGGTTTGGACCTTCTGGAAGTAGGTAACCTGGAAATTTTGCCTGAGATGAAATTTACTGCATCGAAGTTAGTGTAAAAATTCTGTTGGTTTAAAAAAGAGATTTCACTCCCTGAATTTTAAATTCTGGGTAATAAATTGCAACAGAAGATATAAATGGTGATTACGGTCTGAAACTTTGTTTTCCAATGGCATAACCACTGTTACTTGACATTCCGTATTTGTGTTTTACGTTTGAATAACAAATCCTAACCAGACCTAAGAAGCAGGTAATTGTTGGCTTCATTCAGCAGAAGCTAAAGTTGCTAGACATGTTTTACTAAATCAGTATGTTGCCTGCAAGGTCTAGGGCAAATAGTGAAACATTCTTTAGCTACAGAGTGAAATGAGGTTGCCCATGTGCTGGAAGCAGGGGCGTTGGTGACTGGACTAAATATAAAGTTGGTACGGCCCAAGCCTTAATTATGCTGTAGTGATCAATCAGTGTAAGGAGATTGAGGATGGAGATGGAAAACAAGTTCGCAGCTAGGCTGAGATGAAGAAGATAGCTTTAAATACAATTTTGCAAGTAAGCCAAATAATATACTTAACTTAAGTAGTGCCCCTTCCTTAAACCAATGTCTAGGGCAGTGCCTTTTACTTGTTTGGTTTTATAAGTAGAAAGGAATGCTCTATCTTTCCTCTACCAGGTAATTGACTTGGGCGGCGAGCCGATCAAAGGCAGTGACTACTTTGGAAATGGCCGAGTGACAGAATTCAAATACGGTGCAAAACTGGGGACAGTGATCCGCAAGTGGAACGGAGAAAAGATGGCCTACTTGAAGTAAGGATGACGATGGTGCGGCTTACCCGGGATACGCTGGATACGCCGGCTGCCAGGGTAGCTTCAAGTCTTTGTGTTTTTGGCTAGGAACTGGGGCGAAGGGTGGGGCTTTGTGCCTTCCGACAGAGCCCTGGTCTTTGTGGATAATCACGACAACCAGCGGGGTCACGGGGCCGGCGGAGCTTCCATTCTAACCTTCTGGGACCCCAGGTAAGGGATTGCGCTTGTCTGGGTGATGATGCTTCTTCCTTTTGCTTGTTTGCCTGTCGGTTCCCTGGCAGGGTTTGTCTTTCCACGTCTCATTACTTCTTTCTCTAACGAACAGGCTTTATAAAATGGCAGTTGGTTTCATGCTTGCTCATCCGTATGGGTTCACGCGTGTGATGTCAAGTTTTCGCTGGCCAAGATCTTTTGTAAATGGACGGGTAAGCGTGTCATGCTGAAGAGGCGTTCGTGGTGAGTGAGGATCAGAACAGGGCCAGAGAAGCAGTCCAGCGCACTTAAACGTGTTAAGTGATTTCTCTGTCCCACGTTGGCTCTAGCAGGCGGAAATTTGATGCTCCGCCTGGCTTTTCTCTCCAGATAGGCTCTCTGCGTTTTCAGTAAGAAGTTTTAAACTTCTCTTTTTAATTGCAGGACGTCAACGACTGGATCGGACCGCCGAGTAACTCGGATGGATCAACAAAGCCTGTTACAATCAACGCAGACACTACCTGTGGCAACGGCTGGGTTTGTGAACATCGCTGGCGTCAAATAAAGTAGGACCCTGTGGAGAAGGAAGAAGCAAAAGCAGATGCTTTTGCTTTGTGTTCCTCGTGGCTTTAGAGCTCTTGCAGCCACCGTGACAGCCGTTCCTTGCCTTTCCAGGAACATGGTTGTCTTCCGTAACGTGGTGGACGGTCAGCCTTTCTCCAACTGGTGGGACAACGGCAGCAATCAAGTAGCTTTTGGCCGTGGTAATAAAGGCTTCATCGTTTTTAATAATGATGACTGGTAAGTAAGAGAGGAATAAACTACAATTCTTCTAGTTATCAGAGAAAGCTTTTAAGGTGTTGCGAGCTCCAACAGAGCTTTGTAACAGATGCTTCCTCTGTCTCGGTTGTTGGCAGTTGAAACTTAGCATTCTCCACTCTCCCAGGAGCACTCTTCACTGTCCGAGGTTAGACCTTGTACTGTGCTCTTGCTAATTGCCCAGTTCCTGGAGTTGGCTGTATCACTGAAGAGCATGGTCAGCCAGCAACGTCCGAAATTACAGAAACGAGGGAACTTGGTGGCTCAGGGATATGGTCCAAAAGTGGCAGTTTTAAAAACTGTCTTTCAATCTTGTACACGAGAGGGACATGACTTGAGAGACCGGGAGTGTGTCAGATCTGTAGTAATTAGGAGTTGGTTGGGGTGAGGAGCAATTTGAAGGATGTAGTGGTTGAGTTCTCAGTCTTCCAGCCTACTGTGCAGTCCATAACAACAGTTCCTTTTGGACATCCTGCAAAGACTTGAGAGGAGTTTTATTAGGGCTGACAGTTCTTTAGGCTATTTTGGTATGTTCTTCTAGGGTACCGTGATGTCAGGAATACAATATCTGCGTGGAATCTGGCATTTCTCAAGTACCTTTAAGCTCCTTAAAAAACAGGTTACTAACAGAGACATTTCCGAGAACTTGTAATGGGATAGTCTGAAAAAGCTAACTGGGGTTTGGTAGGGA